TATTTTAAATACTACCGACTGCTGACCGATATGACGTATATTTAAAACTATCGCAGTACTATCACGAGTCAAATTGTAATAATATATTATCACGAAAAGTAACTGATTATTAATTATTAAAGTTGCCAGTACAAAGTGAACATACGTAAAGTGTATGTAACTTTTGGCCGATTTTCGAATCGCCGCCGCTTTCCGCTGTACCCCTCACTTCATATTAAATACATGTATTTTAAATAATAAAATTATTTTAAGTACTCCCGACTGTTGACTGGTATAAGAAACATAAAATAAGCTTTGAAAACTTATTTAAAATAAAAATTATCAGTTTTATTAAAACATCTGTTTTAAATAACTTAATTTTTTTAAAATGAAAGTGGTAAAGAACGTTTAATTCTTTACAGATATACTATTAGAATATATACGTCTATAATATATCAGAAATTTAAACCTTTAAAACTTTAAACGATTATCTAATAATAACATATTAACCACGAAAAGTAACTGATATATTATTAATCCTAACATATCATTAAAATGAAAAGGTCAAGCCATGTTCAAAAATAGATCCTCACAAATTAAAGAACCCAACAAATTTAAACCTTTAAAAGCTAATCGCAAAAATTTGATCCTTCCTAAATTACAACGTTTACCTAACCACAAAATAGAAAACCCAATAAATTTCAACCTTTGAAAATTAACCCCAAAAATTTGAACCTTTCTAAATTAAAATGATTATTTGATAATGTAACCTAATAATTTAAACCTTTAATACTTTAAATGATATTATCTAATATAATATATTATCACGAAAGTAACTGATATATTACTAAATGTGCTAGTTCAAAATGAACATACATTATGTATATTTTCTATGTTGAATATGTACCACGAAAAGTAACTAATAGATCATTCAAGGTGCAAATTCAAAATGAACATACATACATATAAGTAAAACAGATTACAATTTGCATATTACAGTTTTCTAAAAAATTTCTGCAATATGTTATTCTTAGTGCACAAAATATAAAAGTCGATTATTGAGATTTGATTTGAAATTTATTTAATTTATACTAGCCCGTGCAATGAAAAATAATTGCTTGTAATTCCAGAGTACCAATCTGTTAATGACTCGGAAAAAGAACATGGCGGCCTGCTCTCAAAAGACTTTCGATGGATGGAATAAATGATTAAAATAGAAGTTATAAAAATATTTTAGATTAAAAGACTTTAATCTTTCTTTAGTCGAATTTCTAATTTTTGTTTGAACTTCCGGTTTTGAGTTAGTTGTATTATAGCATAGATAAGAAATTTATCAATTAACTCTGAAAAAGAAGTGACATCATTCTTACGGTGCAAGTACAAAATGTAATAATGTTTGGAAGATTGATTTAAATATTCGCATTAATGACGGCAAGCCTCGATTGGTATTGTTGAGAATGATATAAGTAAAAGGTATTACAACATAATTTTGTGTGTTCACATCTATTTATTTTATTCTAATCTAATCTTACTATTCATTATTTATATGTAATACTTTTCGTACTTCAAGTGTCGAAAAAATTACTCCGTACAAACTTCAACATTACTTCTAAGTGAACAACGAGAAACTCATCAGTTTTTTGAGAGCAGGCCGCCATGTTCTTTTTCCGAGTCATTAACAGATTGATACTCTGGAATTACAAGCAATTATTTTTCATTGCACGGGCTAGTATAAATTAAATAAATTTCAAATCAAATCTCAATAACCGACTTTTATATTTTGTGCACTAAGAATAACAAATTGCAGAAATTTTTTAGAAAACTGTAATATGCAAATTGTTATCTGTTTTACTTATATGTATGTATGTTCATTTTGAATTTGCACCTTGAATGATCTATTAGTTACTTTTCGTGGTACATATTCAACATAGATTTTTATTTTATGCACTTGGCGTCGCGACGCTACCGCGTCGCTTGATAACTAATTTTACACACTTAACTGTACTTATTGAGAGTATAAATTAGTTCGGTCCGTTTTCCAAAAGATGCTCGCCTCCAAAGTCATTTTTTCAAGACGGAATTCAAAAATTACCTGAGAGATGGGAAAAAGTAGTAGCCAGCGATGGCCAATACTTTAATTAATCTGTTCATTCATTTTGTTTTGAAATAAATGCATTTTTAACACAAAAACAGACCGAACTAATTTGTACACTTAATACAAAGTATCATTTTTGGAATTGATTAGATCAAATTAGTTCCTTTTTATATACAGTTAAGATATGAGATAGAAGCACTTGAATTAGACACACATTTTAACGAGCTTGAATGTATTAAATTACAACTCTTCCCGATTTCAAGAAGCTATAAGATACTACATTTGAATTTTTTACAATGTTAAAAATGACAAATGGGTATTATTGTACGTGCAAATCCAACACGTAAAAATTTTGGACACTTTTGAGCATATTGTTAGTGTGTTGTGGTACTTAGGTTGCGCAAAGAAGGAAAATACCAAGTATTCGTTAACTATATTACTCGATAATACACTGGACACTGATAGGAAATATTATTCAATAGAATGTTATAGAAAAACACTAGCTTTAGAATTGAAGTAGTTCTAGGTTAAAAGGAGAAAGCTTATATAAACGACTTATATACTTGTATGAAAAATATAAATAAAATATTTTATAGTCTATGAGAAACGAGAGGATTCACACTGCAATAAACAAGCACCGATTTGTGAGAGGCAATTAAATTAATACTTATATCATCCTCGAGACTCTCCAACAATAAAAGATTCAATATAATAACTAGACATAAATTTATTGTCGATGTCACGACTTTTCTACTTATAAAAAATTTTTCATCTAAATTGGACTTCTTTTTATGAAAACATTGATTTATTAACGTGATTCAAGCTGTTTAACGATAAATTTGTTATCGTGGATTTTACGTTTTGCTGCTTATTTTTACTGTTGAATATGAAGAATTATGTTTCTACAAATCATCATTTTATGATTCAACAAAATTTTCTTGTCTATAATACTATTGGCCTCTTATTGTTACTGTAAATTTATAAGTCATATATCAACATAGGTTTAAAAAAATTAATAATAATTTTTCTATTATTTTGCATATTGTTAAACTAAAGAAGGCTTTGTGAGCCGATTTATACAGGATGTTTGATAATTAGTGGAACATATTCCATACAGGGGGTAGAATAAACTAAACTGAGAAGAAAAGTCTTGTACTATTTTACAATTGTCACAGTAGTTAACGAGATATTAATTTATAAAAATATTTAAATTCGCCCGGCCCACCGTCAAATGCAAGCGCGCGGCTGAATAGGATCGCCTGCAAAGCGCGCCGCGCGCGTTCGCCGTCGCTACGCGATTCATGTCTAGCGAGGACTATTGCCGCTTGTTATAAACAACGCCTAGCAACCTATTCAACCGCGCGCTTGCATTTGACGGTGGGCCGGGCGAATTTAAATATTTTTATAAATTAATATCTCGTTAACTACTGTGACAATTGTAAAATAGTACAGGACTTTTCTTCTCAGTTTAGTCCATTCTATCACCTGTACGGAATATGTTTTACTAATTATCAAACACCCTATATATACGATCTTATTAGATTATTAATTATATGAACATTTACATTTACTCATATTTGATCATTTAGTCTATATTTATTATTCCTTCACAATTAACGAGCGTTCTTTATTTTGTTTGTTATTTATGTCTTTTTATTTAGGAAAAATAAATTAGATATTTAGGAAAAAATAGTACAAAACCGAGTAGGCGGGTAAAATCGGGGGCATCTATTCAAACGAGCCAAAAACTTCGCGTCAAAAATGCTAGACATTCACAACGTTGTTGTAATGCAATTTTTGTTTTTAATTATTTTTATAATTTTACGGCGTTAAATTGTAGGTCTATTTACAACCTCCGTGCACAACATGGACAAATATATGTATTGTAGTCCCGACTTTAAAATGCGCCATCGAATAAATGAATTTGATTTAAAATTTTTTATATTTTAGAAGTTATGCACCCCCCAAAAATGGACTTTGATAGCTCGGGATAAGAGACTTGTAGTGTCTATTATTATCAGGAGACGCGGTAGTGTCTCCGGCAATGTTCGAAAATTGAAAGACACTACAAGTCTCTTATCCCGAGCCACCAAAGTCCATTTTTGGGGGGTGCATAACTACTAAAATATAAAAATTTTGAATCGAACGTTATATGTCCTGGAAGGCAGCATCGCCACAAGTAATTTGAGCCAAAAAAATTTTTAAATCGATCAAGCCGTTCTGGAGATACAAGCGGTCGAAAAGTGGTGATTTTAATGAATTAAGAAACGTTTCCTTCTCCTTCTCCTCCTTCTTTTTCTTCTTCTTCTTCTTCTCTGTCTGCATTTTATTATAATTTTGTAACGTCCTCTCTCACCTTTCACTCACACCTCCACGAACTTCGACCAACAGCACCCCCTGCCCCCTCCACCCACCACCCCTCTCTTTCGCCGTATTTCACTCTCGTTATATAATATTTTTAAATCATTTTTTAATATAATAAATAATGAAAAGGCTCTATATGTATAAAACAATACAAATATAAGAAGGGCAAAGAGCCAAGTAAATCTATCGAACAATATTCAATTATTTAAAATTTAATAAAACGCTTTAATAGATCTTTAAAAATTACAAATTGACAGAAGTTTCGACTCTGATCATTTTCAATGTTACAAATTAGAATTAAAATAGATAACGAATTCTTCTTCTGATAATTAGTATTTGATATAGATATAGTCACATGTTGATATGGTAAGTATAAATTGATCCTAATAGAAATTATATAAGAATTAATGAAATTACCAACAATAAAAAAATAAATACAAAAATTCTATTACCTTGTCAAAAATACAAAAGAAGCAACAAGTCCATAATTAAAATTTTTCGAAATCAATTAATATAAAATATAATTAAAACAGTGTAAGTCATTTTACGGTTACCAGAATATCATCGTTATGATGTCAAAAGAGGTAATGTAGTTGGAATACGAAATCAAGCGAGGGAAAAAGAGAAAACAACAAGGAAGGAACATATAATATTATATTTAAGAAGAGGAAGGGAATGTATCATATTGGTGTATATCTCGGACAAGGACTCCGTGTCATTTTGTTTGTTTATGCCGTCTGTCTGTTTTTTAATGTGAACCATCTCAGATATTAATCTTTTTTTGTAAGAAGGTTCTATATCTAAGATCTCAACATTGCCCCATTTAAAATTATGATTTAATTTTAATCTGTGGTCAGTTATTACCGAAGGAGATTTTGAACCTTTATTAATATCTGAAACGTGTTCTTGTAATCTCGTTTTTAATAGTTCTTAGTTTGTCCCACATAACTGGCTTCACAATTCTCACAGGATATCTTATATGTATACAACGTTTTGATTGTGTGTGTAATCCAACTTATCTTTGCCTCTTGTAATGTAATTTTTTAATGTATTCGGAATAGTATAACCAAGCTTACAATGTAACATGTTGGCAATAGATTTAAATTTTTCAGAAACATTGTTAATAAAAGGAATAGTAAAAAATTTTTTTGGAAGATTTTATTATTATTAGAATTAATATTATTGATATGGTATTTTATCCTATTATGAATTGTAGAAAATATAAATTAAAAGGGATATCCATTTCGTAAAAAAATATTAATGGCCTCTACTAAATTATTTCTTTGAAAAGTTGGATGACACACTCGTAAAATTTTATCAACAACACCATATATAACACCTTTTTTATGACACGTAGGATGATGAAAATGAAAATTGAGGTATTTTTTTATATATTTGTGATATATTTATACTCTAAAAAGTAAATGATATCCGAAAAAATTCATATCATATTAATCTTTCATATATTAACTAGTAGTTTTTGAACATGGCCGGAGACATTACCGCGTCGTCTGATTACGAGTAAAAAAAAATGTTATCCAATAAAAGACACTTTCTAGTTTCCGTTAATGTTACTACAGTTTTATTTTTAGTTTTTGTTTTAGAAATATTATTCATATAAAATAAAGTGGTATGACGGTATCGATTCTTCCTCTATATGTATACACATAAATATATGTTTATATTCAACAATAAAAATTTTATGATGTATAATTTAGAGAATTATATTAGGCAACTTTACATTTCGATATTAGTAGGTCAAAAGTGCAATAAGATTTACCTGATAAAATTGAGATCATTTCGTCCACGTTTGAGTTGTCCATCGTTGATAGCTTTGAAGTTAGATCGTCCGAATCTGATCACAATATCCGGCGACTTCCATCGGGGATACCTGCTGACCATCGAATTAGTTTCTTCATCGAAGACGGAATTATCGGCGAGATTGAAGGCAGACTGACTGCGTCCGAATCTAATGAAGGAAGAACCCATAGTGCTGCGTCTCTCAGTATTTTCTTTACGTTCATCGATGCCACGTCTTTTTATCACATATTCAAAGTCATTCGGCGATTCCTTGAAGATTCTCAGGTTACTATCGTCCTGGAGTGGCGTCAATATCGAGGAAGACACGAGCATCCAATTACAAAGAAATGCCATCACAATGAAAGCCCAAAGTGTAATCTGCAATCAAAAATTGTATAAATAAAACTGTGTATATATCGCATGTAATATTTTTTATCTTTTTCAATTTCATATTCCATAAAAAAAAACAACTTGTCTATTATTTGCAAATAGTCATACTGACAAAAAAATTTTCGATATTTATGACAATAACATATTATAAATAATTAATTACGATTATCATTATAGGGTTGGTAAGTAATGTGTTAGTTATAACGTCGCTACTACAGTCTGTCTAGTAAGAGCGTGGCAGACTGTACATTACCGTTACTTTTTTTCGATAACGGTATTACTTTTTTTTATTTATAGTGTTAACGTCATTAGATTTTTACACTATTTTTTACTAAATTAAAATATTTTATTTAAATAAAAACTTAAGACTAGGTTTTATTCCATCTTTAACTTCAACTCACTTATCCTCTTACTCTTTTACTCTTTTATTTATCCAAGGTAATTTATCATATAATTTATGATATGATGAATTTTTTATCTAATGATAAAACCGGCCCTAAATATTGAAATATATTTTGTACTTTATACCTTACCATTAGGCTGTATTCCACAGTTAATTCTAAAAATCTGTATCTATATATATATATGCACGCACGCATATGTAACACGATCTGTAAATGCTTTTCTCTCTGTGGCAATAAATATTAAAATACCCTCTTAACCACAACATTAATATTTAAAAACAATGTTTAATAAAATTTTTAATAAAATAGAATTTTAAAGAACAATTCTTTGAATAATTTAGCAAATATTTTTTACATACACATTTTATTTAAATGGAAGAAAATTACATCAACAGTAAAATAAATAATTCTAACTACAAAAATGTAAAATATATAATAACTAACAATTAGAATAAATTGTATTAGGAAAGTCAGTTACAATTTATATAAACGTTTGTAATGTTTTATATAAACAAATTTGTAATTGTAAATTAAAATTTTTACGAAACAAATTGGTTTCTGTTTTTTTAAAAAAACAAGAAAATTAATAGAAGCAATCTGCGCGACCATATAATCTTCTATTGTACATACAAACTACAAAACAATAACTAAACAAATACAAATAAAGTGTTAAATTGCGTCTAAGATATAACAACTAAATTTACATAAGTGTCACATCGTGTTTATTTGATCTCATAATAATAATAAAAATTTGATCATAAATTTCGGAATTGCCAAATATGACATTGGGCAATATATAATTGATTTATCAAGATGGATTAGAATTACGAAGTGCAACAAGAGAATGCATCGTCCAACGTGCGCGTGTGTCACATAATAAATTATATTGGCGTCTTATTATCTGTATTAATATCCTGCTTAATAATATCATGGCGTACTGAGCAAGATTAATGTGGTACCTTATATTACTTTAATTAACTGTGTACGCGACTGCCCTTCATAATCACATCACAAACTTATTACATGTATTGTTAAAAACCTGCAAATTTACTAACTCTTAGTAAAACAAGTATTAATGTAAGCCTAGATAGACAAATTCTCTTGTTAATTAACTGATCTTCATTGTTACTTTACGCAGATTGCACTGTATCAATATTAATACGTACTATTCAGATTCTTACTTATGCCAATCGTGTCTTGTTGTTTATACTAAATGCGTGGTATAATTGCATTAACGATTAATAGCAGATTTTTCAGTTGTTGAAGTTAATATCTTCACTAATAAAGATATTTTGAAATAACTAATCATTAAAATAGAGAGAAAAGAGAAAAAGTATGAAATTTTTCTCGAGACACCACAAACATGTGAACAAATAAAAAAAATCTTACTTCTCAATAAGTGAATATACAGTATAATATAATCAATTACTTAATCGACTGTGAAACTGACCAATCACATTTGCTGTTTAGTGTTTAGTAGAACCATCTTTAAAAACCTACGTGACATTATCCTTATTATTATTTACTTAAATCAATGACATGTATCATTTGTATAAAAGATTTGATATCAATAGTCGGCACCAAGTTATTCTACCTTATTACTTACTTAATTTTAATGACATTTATCATTCGTATACAAGACTTGATATCAACAGTCGGCGCCAAGTTAAATTCTACCAAATTAAAAAGTAAAACACAAGTGGTACCTTTAATCTTTAAGAACCCATATAGTACTATTATTTAAATTCCACTAAATTAAAAAGTAAAACCTAAGTGGAATTATCTTTATCTTCATACAATGAAACCTAAGTATATGCCTTTGTATTCTTATTAAAAGATCTTTCTATTCGAAACCAAGTGATTTAACCCTTCTTTAAAAAAATTATATCACAATTAATTTAAAAACAAAATAAAAAAGATTTATTTAAATAGAAAAATTTTTTATGTAAAAACACTAAAGAAATAAAGGTAAGTTTATATGACATATACGATTATAGAATCTAGGTTATATCTTGGTCTACTAAACAGCATAAGGATAACACCACGTGGGTTTTTAAATTCTACTAACTAGCAGCAAATACGACTGGTCAAATCCATAGCCGATTATAAGGATAACACCACGTAGGTTTTTAAATTCTACTAAACAGCAAATATGATAAGGATAACATCACGTAGGTTTTTATAAAAAATTAACCTTGGCATACATAATGAGGTATTCAAGCACATGTTCGAGTTAGTATTAGTTAAATCAGACGTAAAGTTGGGAACTGTTGGGTATTACTGAAGAAGAGAAGGGAGAGAGAATTCTGATATAGAATAACTTGGCGCCGACTATTGATATCAGATCTTTCATACAAATGATAAATGTCATTATATGAGGATAAAGATAGTACTACATGGGTTTTACTATTTAATTTAGTAGAATTTATCTTGGTATAACCAACTTAAAACCGGAAGTTTATTGATGTTCTCTATAAAATATTTTAACATAATACATTTTATTATTGAAAGATAATGCAATGAAAGTAAATATATATTTATTCCAATGTCGAAATATTACATATGTATAATCAAATATACTAATAAACATAATACATTTTTTTGGTATAATGTTATTACGAAATTGATTATCAGAACAATCCTTTCTCACGATATTAATTATTAATTAGAGAATAATAATTTGTAAATGTATACTTATGAAGATACACGTGATTGAAAACTGGTTAACTTACACTCTAAAATCTTGAACTAGGTGAGAGATCAAACTATAACAGTTTTTTATATTTAAAAAATAAATCACAAAAGATCAGTATTAATTTTAAAAGAATTCTTATGCCAAATTGTCTATTTTAACGTAATACATTTTATTATTGAAAGATAATGAAATACCATGAAAAATGACTCATATATTATTGAAGATGCCAGTTCAAAGTAAACATACACCAACAGTTCCCCAACTTTACGTCTGACTTAAATACATCATTATGCCAAGGTTTTTTACCATTTCATTATCTTCCAATAATAAAATGTATTACGCTAAAGTAGACAATATGGTAAGACAATTTAATAAGAATTCTTTTGAAATTAATACTGATCTTTTGTGATTCATTTTTTAAATATAAAAAACTGTTATTTTGATCTCTCACCAAGAATACTATATTTGATTCAAGATTTTGGAGCTCACATGTGTGTGAGTTAACCAGTTTTCAATCACGTGTATCTTCATAAGTATACATTTACAAATTATTATTATAATTAATAATTAATATTGTGAGGAACGATTGTTCTGTTAATCAATTTCGTAATAACATTATACTAAAACACTTATTACGTTTATTAGCGTATTTGATTATATATGGTACATGTAATAGATTTTGACATTGGAATTAATACATATAAGAACTACATGGATTTTACTACTTAATTTAGTAGAATTTAATAAGAATAGTACAAACGATACATGTCATGATATAATTAAGCAAGTAATAAGGATAGTACCTCTTGGGTTTTTAAAGATAGAATTTAACTTGGCGTACAAATGATACGTGTCATTAGATTTAAGAAAATAAGAAGGTAAAAAAAACAACAGTTCTCCCTTCTCTTCTTCTTCAGTAATACCCAACAGTACCGAACTTACGTCTGATTTGACTAAGACTAACTGGAACATGTACTTTAATACCTCATTATTATGTATGCCAAGGTTTTTTATATATATATTAATTTCTATTTCATTATCTTTCAATAACAAAATGTATTACGTTAAAATAGACAATTTAATATAAGAATTCTATTAAAATTAATACTGATCTTTTGTGATTCAGTTTTGAAATATAAAAAACTGTTATTTGGATCTCTCACCTAGAACACTATATTTCATTCAAGATTTTGAAGTACATGTGTGTGAGTTACAGTTTTCAATCACGTGTATCTTCATAAGTATACATTTTCAAAATATTATTCTAATTCATAATTAATATTGTGAGGAACAATTGTTCTGTTAATCAATTTCTTAATAACATTATACCAAAACACTTATTACGTTTATTAGCGTATTTGATTATCAGAACAGTCACGATATTAATTATTAATAATAATAATAATTTGTAAACGCATACTTATGAAAATATACGTGATTGAAAACTTGTTAACTTACACTCTAAAATCTTAAATCAAATATAGTGCTCTAGGTGAAAGATCAAATTGTAATAGTTTTTTATATTATTATTGAAAGGTAATGAAATGAAAATGAATACGTATATAAAGAATACTATTATACATATTACCATGAAGAATGACTCATATATTATTGGAGGGGCCAGTTCAAATTAAACATACATAAAGTGTATATTCTTTTGTTGCGTATATACGTAATAATAATGATTTAATATCACTATTATAAACATCTAGTGTGCATGTGTTGTTAAATTATTATTACGTATATATGCAACTAAAGGATATACATTTTATGAATGTTCACTTTGAACTAGCACCTTCAATAATATATCAGTTTGTTTTCTAACGTCGAAGTTGTCGGTTGCATTGTATTACTTTGAGAATTTAATGTACTTTTATTATTGTAATGTA